AAAAAAAAGGAATTTTGAAAAAATAAATAAAATGGATTTCATAGGGCCCTAAAAATGTCGCAGGGGCATCTAAATACTCAGTATGAAAAATCAAAATCCAGACACCATTTGACAAAGTTCAAAGAAACTAAAGCATGTGCTTTGAAAAGCTTAGTAAAATTCTGAAAAAAAATCTCTCTGATGTTCAAAAAGAAATATGAAGGAACATTTGAGTGCTACAGAACTTAAGTGATGCAAATATAAATCGAGGCAGTTCAAGGTAAATCACAAAAACAAGGAAGCATTGCAGTCAACAGCTTGGACCACACAGATCATCTCCAAATTTAGGGTAATCCACAATAATTACCCATTAACAGTTTTATTCTCATTAAATCTTAAAGCAACAATAAGAAAAAAGGCACTTAGTGAATACAATTAAGCTAAAAGCCACACTCTCCATTCTCCAAAATCTTACACATTCATTCACACTCATACACAATTTCTATAAGCATCAAAGCACCATTCACACACACGTCACGACAAACCAAAGGGGAAAAAATAAAACATTTTGCAGAGCTTTACTTTTAGATTATAAATATGAGATATACTAGAACAACAGCTTTTAAATAGGTTACAAAATTCTCACACTTCAATATGGCCAATACCTTTAGGCCCTTTTCCTTCTGCTGGTCTAAGGTAAAAGTCTAAGCCCTTAAGTATTTAGTCATTATCTCAGTGTTACCACATTACCTGGAGATGCTATCTTACCATAACACCTGGCCAAGGATGAAGTCCTTGATGGAAAACCCCACGGAAACGTAGCCTGGTGATTCCAGCTGCCTTGAATCAAAATGTCCTTCAGTGTATTTGATACTCAATTTTATTATTTTTTTTAACCAAAACTGGACAACCTTGAATCAAGGAATAAGGGATCCAATCCGTCAACAAGTGATACGATGAAATCCACGAAGCTACTCTGGTCTGCACTGTCGATGACGTTCAGTTGAAACCTATTTTGAGGGCCTTACCATCAAACCCTCAAGTACTTTCGCACACACCTCTCCTTACATCTCAACTAGAGGGCCTTACCAACAACCCTCAGACTACCATACCAAACTAGAGGGGCTTACCAAACACCCTCAAGGCACCTACCCAACACGAGGGCCTTACCATCCACCCTCATTTTTATCAGTTAACAGAGGGCCTTACCACAACCCTCACCTACCTATACAATAAGAGGGGCTTACCAACCACCCTCATATCCATAACAATATCTCTCATTCTTGACGAAATCTACCTCGCAAGTGAGATTTTAAAATATCTCCAACAATGCTTTAATTTTTAAATCTAAAATTTTGAAAAAAATATGAGAAATGAAATGGAATAAACCCTTAACATTTGAGTTAAGGAAAGTAAAAACGGTAATTCTACTTATTTTACTGGTTATATCCATGTCGTTTTTTTCAGCCCACTTGTTGTACAGAAAGATTTAAACAGCTAAGCTGTACACACAGGAAAGGTTACTCTCCATGCAGCTGCTCGCTTCTCAACTTAAATGGAAATTTCTTAAGACTTATGGAGTAAGTATCTCACAGAGGAATTCTGGGACTGAATTTGACCATTGAAGCTGTACAAGGTGAATCCTTGATAATAAGTATCTTTAAATGTAACTGGGTTTCGTGCAGTGATTTGAATATCTAATGCCCTTGGCAATCTATTCCATTAAAGCCAATTCCAAACATCGGAGCAAATATTATGCCTATACACTAGGCTTGCCACGATAGACGGTGCTGACGGATGATACCAGTGTTAAGTCGCAACACCGGTTACGTCACTAGCCCACCGCGTAACCGACCCCCACCACCATTTAGATTTTTTTATAGTAATAAAAATAATTTAGTTCAGTAAA